CATCCTGAAATGCATCCAGGTGCATTTAATAAGTTTTTTTATATTAATGAAAGTTTTTCAAGCATTTCCACCAAACAAATGTTTTCCGAATCTTGTTTATTCTACGTTTCGCTGCTTAAGAAGCAATTGACCATTAACTAATGCACAACTTTGGCAAGCCAGCAAGCACTAATTAAAACGTTTTTTCTTCATTCAAAAGGCCGTTGAAATTGACGGATTAGATGATATCCACTTATTGCTGTACAGCTTGTAAACCGTCCAAAGGATTCAATTTCAACCCTCATGCAAAATCTATTAGGTTACATTCCAAAGCAGCCCCATTTAAAACTTCCGATAAGTCTAAAGTTGCCAACATGGCTATAAAGAGCTCGGTTAAACCCAGGCAGCAATTACCAACTTTACACTCCGCAACTTCCAAAGCATTTAATTATTTTAATTACTGTCCTGTATCTGGTTCTAATTGCATAATATTGGCTGATAATACGAATCAGTTTGAAGCGTTTTTTCAGAGCCCCATCGAAAGGGTCGGTAAAGATTCATTTAACTCGTTTGATTTAGAAAAGCTAATAAAGTGAAGCAGTTTTTTGTTCCTCAGCGGCAATTAGTCAAAATTACAGCTTTTGCTTTTTAGCTCAGCTATGAATATTAATTTGGGAGTTTTTCCGAAAGTACTCGATCCACTATCGCTATATTAGATGAGTAATTTGCCATTGAATCACTGTAGGAATTTGCTAATTAAACCGTTATGCAAGGAGCAGTTAAACTTTTCCTTATTGTTTAAGATGGCAAAATGCAATGCTTCTAAAGTAGACAATGCTTTTATTGGGCCCAACATGTACTGTGGAACTTTAGCAGAGCAGCTAAAAGTTCACTGAAAATATCCTCCTGTTCAACTTTTAATGATGGCAAAGTTTCTTGCCACTTTTGAAAGCGAAAATTTGCAGACTTGATTTATTAATCGCGCGATCTCTGATCCCAGGAGTTTACTTTACTTAAAAATTCCTAACTCAAAAACGCATTTGCAGTAGTAAACGCGATAAGCCAAATAAGTGCAGAAATGTAAACCCAACATTCTTTGGATATCAACTTAAAGGTATTCTGACAAATAAGCGAGACATTAATTATCCCGCACCCTTTTCAGGCTTGTATTAAATATGTAGTGCAGCATTTTATATCGCTATGTTGCAAGTCAGCAACTGTTAACATACATTAGTCGGCGTGACTAATTTGCTGGGCACCTTCATGTGGCATTGCAGTGCCTGTCTGTACCACTTTCCTTTCGAAAAGGGTTTTTGCGCCAAATTTTCATTATGAATGTTCAGTCTCTGTTGCCAACTAGTTTTGATCATCAGCCATAAATAACGTGCGCTATCTGAACTCTAGATTGAGGCTCTTTATAGGCCCAGTGGAGACGCAACTTTCTACCAACAGGCAGAGATGAGTCCATCGAGGAAAAAGCAATTTGTCTTCGGGCAACAAATAAAAAATACAGTTGGGTAACAGTGGACTAAATGATTACGCGGATATATTTCTTTAGCAGTGCTGGAACATGACTACTTTGAGCACCCAGTAAATCCCACACCGTCCAAAGCTGGGGATCCAAGATTTATGTTGGGTACACATAAGGGTTAGATAAGACCCGGAGTTGGACTTAATGTGTCCGTCACCAGGGAATAGGCTTAATTAACACCGTGACTGCCGAAATGAAAATTAATCCGTTCTTCTAGCTGCCGTTACTTGCGACATTGCTCAATTAACCCCTAGCATTAAAACGAATTGTCTCGTTGGGGCCAACTAGTGTCTTAAAGTTAGCCACATATTACGCAAAACCAGCGTCAATATAAAATTTCGTTTGCCTGTTGTCTATCGATCGAAACAAGTTGAAATTCCGGACGAATGGCCTAAACTAACTGAAACAAGTGTAGCTGTTGAGTAATGTAGCTCCTTGACGATACAAATGACCTGACGGGGAGAATAAGTCGAGATAAGGTTCTGAAAAAAGACGAGTCTCGTATAAATTATAGATAAAAAAGTGGCGAAAGTCGAGATGCTCCTGCTTAGATCCGTAAATTGAGAATATCATAAATACCTACTACCCATGATGGAATCCTTGAATGATCATCGAAAACTGATCAAGTAAGCAAATTTCATCTAAACGTATTTCTATACATTTTAATTTATTCCTGAATCCACAAAAACAAATATTTGTTTCATTAAAACTTTATTTCAGTTAAAGCCGGAGACGTTTAATTAACTGTTGAAAGAAAAACATTCACAATTCTTGCAAACTGTTATAAGTGTTATAGCTTTTGTTCGCCGCGCCGCTTCAAGAGAATAATTTTTAATTAGAGAATTCTAATTGTACAAAAAAGTAAATTAAATTTTAATCCGACCAAAACTAATTTCCCGTATTTTGCGTGCATTGTTGGCGAAATTAATTTAACCAGCTTTATGTTTGGATGTCAGGACATAGTGGAAAAATAAGTTGAAAATAAATGCAAATCACCGACCAACAAAATTATCCATATGTGAAAACTTTTTAATGAACCAATTACTTTCAATATCAGCTAGAGTTTAAATTGGCAATATTTGTACGGAAAACTTACGTTCAAAATAAGCAACTTTGGCTTGGTATATAAGTTTTAAAACGTTTAAGCAACTGATCTTATAAAAGAATCGTTTTGCTGCAAATAATAGCAAGTGTTTTACAAAAAAGCAAGAGTTGCAGCAAGCAGTTGGAAAAAATAACTTATTTCAGCGCATTGAAGTCTTGAAGCAAAATACATTCAGATTTTTATAAAACACTTGATATTAGAGAAAATAATAGCAGTGAGTAACGAACGCGTCATTTCAACGTGAAACCAATGAGTTCTAATTAAGGTTTGCTTTCGCTAGCAAGTCATACAATTTCACTGAGAAAACCTTGTCCATTAAACGACAGCGGCAAGATTTTCCAACTTAAAAATTAATTGCGAACGAGCCGAGGAACAAAAGGCGGCGGTAATAACAAATTAAAAGATTTTCCGCCATTTTCTCTTCTACTTGTTAATTAAAAAAAACTGCTAATTGCTTTAAACGTTTGTCTTCTCGCGGAATAAAGAAATTTGGGGGAATAAATATTTATTTAGGCAAACTGAGACAAAGGCAAAGAACATTGCAGATAAAAGTTCGGGCAAGTTTGCCGGTTAATCAGGACCGGGGAAAGTTCTTTACTCGCAGGAAAATCCCCAGATTTAACGACTGGTTATGAGCAGGAACTCTTGAGACCGTTTTATGTAGCTGCCCGATTTTCTTGTGACTACGTTTTCGCACGTCGGCGTCGTTGTAATTATATAAAATTTTAAATGGGATTTAGGTGAATAAAAAAGGGACAAATTCTGCAAACGTACGAGGAGAAATGCGGCTCGATTAGGAAGACGACACGAAATGCTGCGGAAATTACTAGGAGATCGTGCATTTGAGAACCACGCTGAATTCACTTCAAATCATCTGCCTCATTACCAAGGGAAATATAATCATTGCAAAGTGTAAAAGGTTTTGCTGGAGAAGTTTACTACTTTATAGCACGGTTTCCTGCTTGGGAAAATTTGAGAATAAATGTAATCATCAGAAGTATCTTTGAATTGAATTGAATCAGTCAAATTGTGAAATAAAAATTTGTATATCGTTTATTTGATAACGTTCCGGCGAGACAACAGCGTCATCATCAGTTTCAGAAAATTCATACAAATTCTTAATTGGTTATGTACCAAAGAAGTATCTTTGAATTATTAAAACTGCAGTTATTTCTAAGTAATAGTATTGGTTTAGTAAACAGTGACGCCAATGTGGCAATTGCCTTATTCTGTTGGCCCAACCGTAATAAGAAAAGGAAATAAATACTCATTTGTAAAGCGAACAATAAAGGCGAAAATTTAAAAGAAATCTGAAAGGAGTTTTACGGGTTTGTCGATAATTAAAGGATCCGGCGGAACAAGGCTTTGTAAATTTAAAAAGGGTGAAAAGGTCCACTTAAAAACCTCCTTTGTTTCATTTCGCCAAAGAAATTTAATTAAGTACTATAGATTTGACGTTGGCGAGAGTTTACATGGTTCAACCGCGCTTAGGCTCCAAATTGAATTAGAGAAAAAAGGGAATAAGCAAAGGCGGAATTAATCTGTTTTGCTCAGAACAATGCCCTGTAGATTACCAGTGCAAGGGTTTTATTAAAACTGAAAGCCAAAGTTACGTTACCCATTAGGAAAGTGAAATTTTCCGAATTTTTACTCAATGTTTTTATGGGCAAAGAAAACGAAACAAACTGAAAATAAATCAACCAACTTCCCAAACTGTAAATTTTAAATTGTACATTATTCATTTTCCCTCTCAATACCTGTCATCCACATTGCTGTACAATTCAGCTAAAAGTCTGTTAAAAATATTTCCATTCTCTTAAGGAACGTTTCCTAAGTGAATAATGTCCCTATAATATCAACAACAGTTGATCATTTTAAAATCGCTTGAAAATGAGCTGCTAAACATGACGGCGTAGGCGGATGTCAACTGCACGTGCCTCTATAGAAGAACACGAAGACAGTCTGGCAGGTTTTTTACAAAGCCCAATGTGATTGGGAAATTTCCAATATGAAATCTCGGATAGTGAAGGACATGACACGTGAAATAAGGATTTTCATAAAGCAGTGAATACAGCAAATTGAAGTCGGTAACGTTGGATCGTCAGAACCGAGCAAGATTTATTGAAAATCCAGATGAATGATCAAATCAGATATATTGAGCATGGATCAAGAAGTAAGCGATAGCCATTGAATGGGCGATGAGCGGTACCTAATGAAAAGTTAGGCTCAGTAAGCTCTTAAAATATACATGAACCATCAACAAATATTTGTCTTAATAACCCTGTTTTATTCATATTTGTATTGTTCCTTAATTTTCATGTGAATCCATGAGAAAACTTCTAAAATATATAGCCAAAAGTTCGAGCAAAAAAATCAATTACTTACAGCCACAGATGAAAACAATTATTTATTAAACACCGTTATCAATTTGGTACATACGCGGCTCGACTGGAAATTCATCGGAAAGCTTGAGAAGAAAATTCGATTTCACTCGGTGAAGTAATAAGGATGCTGTGAATGCACTAGGCCGTGTAAAATTAGACTGAGTTATAGCCTTACCTTTAAAATTCCATCTACAAGGCCTGCGAATCACTTCGCGTTGGAACTTTTAATAAGCTGGGGGGCCAACATGATTTGTGTTCCGGCATTAATGGAAAAATCAGCTTTTAAGCGAGCATTTTCCCCATTTTGCATTGTCCTATCTCCTACAGGTATTATTTGCTTTTGGTAAAGCTTACATTTGTCTTTATTACAAGGGAAATATGCTTTTTACCTGTCTCATTCTTTTCCCTTCTTGGACGGATTTATTTCGATTTGCTTTCGTCTCGATTAGGCCTAGACGACTATTCGGGTCATCCTCAAAACAACTGAAAACAGCAAAATTAGTAAAAGTAAACCGATTACGAAATGTCACAGTTTCATTTGCATACAAGTGATAAATGCTCGAATGAATTAGAATAAAGAAACATTTACATGTACGTTAAAACTTAATTGAGCGTTACATTGCGCAATTTTATATCCATCATCCTCATCAGTTTTGGACTATTAAAACCAAATCAAAGAAAACGTTTTGAATTAAATCACAATTACATTCAAAATCGAATGTACCGGTTTAAACACAACATGTTATTAATACTAAATTTCACTTTCGCCAATGGATTGTTACATTAAACAGTGACTTTCCCATAAATTATTTTCACACCGTAGATTTTCAAACACAGCCACCAGCCTTGCATACGATGTGTATGGACGCTTAAAAATTAATATTTTAATTAATGAAAATGAAAGAATTTATTTTAAACTGTCCGGAACTTTTGATGAAATACAACAAAGCTTCGCTTTATACCTACTATATGCGCCGACTGTACGCTTTTAGAATAAAGCAAAGCAAAATAGTTTAAAAATTCATAAAGAAGTTTGAAGCCTTTCATGTCGTAGGACTATTGATTTTTCCATACAAAACTACAGGAACTATTTTATAGGATTATCGAGTTCATTTCTACCGGATATAAAGTAAATAAAAAACAAAATTTTTCAAATATAGCAATTTATATTCATCTACTTCACAGGTATACATCGAGAAAAATCGTATTTACAAGGTCTCTTCAACCAAATAATTGTAAAAATCGATTCTAGTATTTTCAGATATCCATTGTACATACGCAGCTACCTTAGTGTAAATAGAATGGTTATCGGCCAATTTGCAGTAAGACAAGCGAGCCAAATGACTGGTTATGCCGATTTGCAAGAAAAATCCATTCCTCTTTATCACAAGTGGCCCTCCACTATCTCCCTAAAAACCTTTAAAGATAAGAAAATGAAATGTCTTAATTGCTGATTAGTATGAAACTAAATTTCCATACATTTTCGGTTTATTTAGAATTACAAACCAAAACGCATATCGAGGTTCAGAAAGACTCAGACTAAACGCTGGTTTCTGTAAGTTTAATCGCATTATAAATAATTTATCGCGTTTGAGAACTCAGCGCGTTTCGGCATGTTTTTCGGGCATTGCTTAAGTCTAGTTCTGCCCCCTGGTATGAATAAACAAAATGGGTCTTTTTAATAAAATATACCCTCTGCATGTATTACGTCAGTTTTTATTGGGCAAATAGGGGAAAAACGTTCCCTTGCGTGATTCGTTCCGTTTTCTTCTAAATTTTTAAACGATTAAGGCTTCTCCTGCTCATTCCGTTGCGCGCTTTGATTAAGTTACGGAAGTCCCGTTGGTAAAGAAGTTGTTTCTAAAACTGTCTGCCCGGTTGGAAAATCGAAAATGTCCATTATTTCGCAATTGAAATTTGGGGAAACCTTCACCTTGCAAGCTTTTCCTTCGTGCACAGTAGAAGTGCAGCAAATCTGGACAGCACTATCTTTAGCACTTATTGAACATTCAGCTGGCGAACTAACATGTAAGGTAGCTGTGCGTAATCTTGTTGGTCTTTGCATATAATCTGAAAAAAAAATCTGCAATATCGAAAAGCTGGATTAACTGGCGGTTTTTTTGAAAGCTCAATGGGTGCTTGTGCTGTTTTAAAATGTGAATGCAATAGAATTTTAGTCATATCAATCAAATGATAATGAAAAAATTTTAGATTTATTCATTAGGTACATACCATTGATGACACCCAGACCAGTTAAATATGCGGTTTTTCCGATCAAATCTTCACTTTGATTGAGGTGGAGACGAACTGTCTTAATGAATGTGGCTGAAGATCAAAAGCGAATGTAAAAATTTAACAGAAAACATTTAGGGCCAAATCGCCTTACACAATGTAGCCCAGGTTTGCAATTTTAGTAGGCCAATATCATGATGATTGCCATTCGATTCGAGATAGTCCCGATGAATAACGATTTTTTCCACCAGCAAAATACGTCCACCCCTTAGGTCTGAGTAGACGCTACCTACTGAAACTTGAACAAAGTCTCTGCAATGTAATACCACGAAATTAGCTAGAAGTTTGTATACACACAACACCTAAGCGAGTCCAATGAATGTTACTAGATCTGGTCATTTGGACGGTCCCTATAAAATCGGCTTCCTTTGAAGGTTTTATTATGTAACTTTAAGTTAGCAAATTACCAAACCCCTTTAGCAGGTCGGACCTCAAAATCTGTTTGCATTATCTCAATCCGCTGTTTATATTGAGTTTATATATATTTATACTGAGTTAAATCAAAGCTAATTTTCACTACGTAAACATACTGATTGTCTCCCTGGTTTCTAATATTAGCGTATCGAACTTGCACCTAACTTTATGCCGGAAATTCTGTTACGAACTTTAATCTAATAGAAGCTTAGTTGAAAATTAACCGAAACTTACGGGGTAAACTGTTTACCGTCTTGTTCTAAACAATGTGCTGCAGTCAAAATCCATCCGGGGTGTATTAAGCTGCCACCGCAGTATACTAAATTTGTGCCATTCAATTGGGCTAATAATGTCACTTGATGGGGAAAGTCGCCCTTTTTTGGCTCTATTGGGTTATTAGCGCCCTAAAAAACGCTTCTAGAAGTTTGCATAAATCAACCCGAATAACTTACATTAACAATTGCGTGTCTTAAGCGGAAGCGCAGACTAAAGACTTCGCATAAACTACCCACGCAGACCAGGAAAACTATAAAAATTAACTTCATTATGTTTCTCTGAATAAACAGCCGCACTAATGACTATATTGCAAAATTACATCTATATTTGCGCCAATCACAGTCCGCTATAAATAACCTTCCGATTTTATCTATTGTTAAAACATATATTACAATTGTGGGGATGTGCATCGGATGGCAATGTGCTGGTTATAAAAATGGCCATTTTTCCGAACCATTTACTTTATGGCGCGTGGAAATAATATTTGTCATTGAATTTTCTGCTTCACAAACACTGGTTACATGAAATATTTAAGTACAGGCGGTGTAAAAATGTGGAAAATATATCAAACCGTGTTTAAAATTTAATTTAATTTACCCCCGCGATCACTAAAGTAAATTGTTCCCTCAACTATTCTGTTTAATTCAACTGAATTAATTAAAAAAACTGTATTGAATTTTATCGGCGACTTTCAAGCCTGAAAAATTTGAATAACTGCGGAAAAACGGCCGTTAAATATTTACCGAGCCATAATAAGAGACCTCTTGAAATATTCATCTCTTAAATCAGCTGTACACCCTTAGAGGAGCGATCGTTGGTTTCCATTGTTTAAACTGGCTTTAATTTTAACGTTAAGCATCCAAATTGAAAGGGCTTCTGTTTTTTCAGGCTCAACCACTTTGTGATAAATTCATTCATACATGAGCCGAAACCCGCCAATTCCGTTAATTGGAATATTTCTTAAACGTTGATGAACGGGAATTAATTAATTAAGAGAAAATGACAGAGAAGAAACTTTTAATGTTTAATAGAAGCTGACGTAAAATTATCTCGGCCAAAATTTGGACAATTTTATTATCAATTCGACACAAATTTCCTTCACAGTGGCACCCAATTTCCATTTCAATTAAGATAAAGTTTGCAAACAAAGAAACTGAATTACCGAAAACCTAAAACACCAGCCCACATTTCTACGGGGTAAATACTTGGCTGACGTGACGAAAGGGCGATAAAGTCAGAAAAACTTAATAAATGGTGTACGAAAACGAACGAACTACAATAACCAATGGGGTTGCGTAAATAATTTTCATAAAAATCGAATGAATTTTCCACGTTGTTCGTTTTTTCATGCTAATTCTCCTTCTATTTCTTTAGGAAGTGATTTAGCGGCGTGTATGATTTATACGACTACAGTTCCTCCGGGGGTATTTTCGGTAACGCAGCCCCGATGAAATGTTACAAATGAATACATGGTCGGATTTAAGGGATTAGCATTTACATTTATATATGGGGGAAGGATTCAATTTTGCTATGGCAAGAATGGCTAAAAGTAGCTATTCGTAGCTAAGAAGGTATATTTTGCAATTGTTCAGGTTTAACGGGTTTTATTCCAAAAATGACCGTATGTTCCTACCTTTCAGTTTTTCTTTAAACACAGTCTGCAAAAAACGATTTTTTACAAAACGAGTGAAAAATTTGAAAAACATTATTTATATCGCAATATTAATAGTGGCACTTACGATTTCTGCAAATTTTTACAAGGAAAATCGCTTGTTAACAAATTTAAAAATCAAGTCAATTTCCATTTGCTGTAACTAATTTTGTGCGAGCGCATATACATTTCAATAGAAAACATCTGAAAAACCTTTGTAGAATAAAATAATTTCGAATCCTAGAAGCAATTGCTTTTCTAGACAATATGCTGAGGAGAAAGTTGTGGCATTGGAAAAGTGGATTTTTGGACAATCTGACGAGTAATTTTTATCATTAAAAATTTATTCTAAGTATACAGTTGCAATCTTAGTATAAACTCAGAAGTTTAACTTAGTATAAACTGTAGAAGAAGCCTAAACACCGCAATAAGGAAAAGCCCGATATTTTCCATTGCTTTCAAGGATCTATATATGATCAAGAAGGTATGATTCCTTTTTTTGCTCAGTTAGTATAGCCATCTACCAGATATGCCAGATACTGCAGGAGAGAGAAACCTTAGTTTTTCCTATCGCATGGAAACGCTAGGATTTGATGGATTAAAAGTGTTGATCGTCTGGATAATTTGCTATATCCGGCATCCCTAACTCTTCAATATGACATGAATATGGATAAAGTTGTCATGAAACATATGTCATCCGCGTAGTGATGCTTTCCCCACCAATCAAAATCACCTACACACTACACTGTTCCCATGCCAACTCCAACGTCACTGGTACGTCAGGAGTTCGCGTAAACATTGTGGGAAGTGTGGAAATTATGTTTAGTTTTTGATTTTCGTTTCTTTGAGAACTAATATGTTGTCTATTTTCATTAAGTCGCTGATTGTGGTGTCGGCTTTAGGCATCGCCACCGGAAGCCAGCTTCGAAAACTGCAGGTTAACATTTTAAACAGCTACTTACTAATTTTTATAACTGTATTTGATTTCACTAAATAGACATACTTGATTGTTATACAACTATTTACAGTTATGTATATCATAAATTTTTAAAAATATATTTGGGGCGTATAAATGGGATAAGCGGGTCATTTTTTCAGAAAGACACTAAACATGTTTTTGCATGTTTTAGGACATTATGGCGGATAAGAAATTATATGTTTGCTTTGTGCTCAACCTTGCTAATTGCCGCAATATTTCTAAATCGATAAAAGTTGCCCAAAGTTATCAATTTGTTGCTTGCCATTATTTCCTTAATTCGTTCCTTTTCTTCGCTTTTCAATTGGTTGAACAAATGAAAATATTTTTAACGCATTTTATACTCATCCTAATCTCAATTTAAAAAATTTATTCATTATGTATTAAATTATTTTTAGCGAAACCATACTCCACAACGACTGACAAATAGTGAAATCAGGCACTTAGCAGGCCTGTCCAATATAAGTTATTTCAACGAAGTAATAGACAACATACTTGTTCCCAGAGTAGTAGGAACGAAAAACCACGAAAAAGTGTTTAACTACATCAGCACCGAGCTGGACAGAGCTGGATGGAATGTAGATGTAGACGAATTTGAACAGGAAACACCGAACTTCGGTCGTCTGACTTTCAAAAATATTGTGGGAGCTTTAAATCCAGAGGCTGATAGATATTTGGTGCTTGCATGCCATTACGACAGCAAGTACTTCAAACATGAGGAATTTGTTGGTAAGTTGTTGGAATTTTTTTATTTCATAATCTACCCATATGCGGTTTTATGCTAACGTAATCATTAAAAACTCAAGGCAAATTGCATTGGAATGGCATTGTTTGATTTAGCAATTGCTACTTAACTACCACACCTTATCAAAAATTTGCGGGACCTGAATGCGTATTTGTTGAGCTCAGTTGATTGCTTTCGACCTAAGAAGCTTTCTAATGTGCATAATAAAGTCTATTTCCTTAAAATGACTATTATACGCTTAAAATATGCCGAAAAAGTCTATTATTTCGGATCTGAAACTTCTAGCATGTTTTTCAATGAATTCGATGCATTCCTCGCGTCCGTGAGCTGAAAATGATGTGAAATAAAAGACATTTTGAAAAAAATTTCAAAAATGAGCCTTTCAATGAGCCTCGCTTCCTTCTGATGAAAATGATGTAAAGAACGAATGATTTTGAGCCATTTGATAAATTTTGAAAAGATCGACCCACGACAACATTTATTTATATAAATAAAAACATGTTTTTAACTAATTTAATAACAATTGAAAAAAACGATTTCGCTGTTCCAGTTAAATGCTGCCCACCACCTTATTTGTATTCATAGCCGTTTCTATCCTCTATCAACATCTACTTTGTATTCTTATTTCCGCAAACGTTGAGAAGTATTTATCATATTTATAAGCTGACAATCGATTTTGTAATTAGAAAATTGAGGTGTTCCCTTACTTAATCGCTCCTACTTAAATTTTCTATTGTTTTAGGTGCTATTGACTCAGCAGTACCATGCGCCATGATGCTCAATTTAATCAAAGTGCTCAAGCCTCAATTAGATTCAATGAAAGGAAACACCGATTTGAGTTTGAAATTGATATTTTTCGACGGCGAAGAAGCCTTTGTGCAATGGGGCCCCAATGACTCGATTTATGGGGCGCGGCACTTGGCCAATCGGTACCATAATAGCAACTCGCTTACCAGATCGACTGGAGAAACGATATCTGAATTGCAAAAAATCGATGTTATGATTCTTTTGGACTTGATCGGTCATAAGAATGCTCATTTTTACAATTACTTTCCTGAAACATCCACATGGTAAAATTGCAAGAGAGCTCAAATAGACCGATTTTCTATGATAATATTTATGGGGTTCCAGGTTCAATCGAATGGTTAACGCGGAAAATAGACTGAATAAGTTGGGCTTGTTTCATGCAGGGCCAGTCAAATACTTTATCGCCAGAGACTTTCATAATGCCAACATCGAGGATGATCATCTACCGTTTTTAAGAAGAAGTAAGTTCTAGTTTTTAAAACTTGAAACAGGCAATAATACAAGTTTTTATTGTAGATGTTCCAATATTGCATTTAATTCCGTTGCCATTTCCCAGAGAATGGCATACTTCAGGCGACAACCGAAATATTATCGACATAAACACCGTTGAGAATCTGAACAAAATACTACGGATATTTACCACCGAATATTTGCATATGTCAGTATAGCTTAAATAATTCTTTTCAGATGTTACGCAAATCGAAAAACGCAGAAAACGATGCAAAATAATTGCAGCATTTTCAGTTAATTCATATGTGAATTTCAATTAGAAAGAATCTCACGATCGAAATAAGAATCTCAAATCGTGTGATGTACAGTTTTTATTGTGCAATGAAAACTTGTTTATATTAATTTTTAAGTTTTTGAGTTTTATGACTCAGCCAAATCGATATTATACTATATGAAAATAGTTTATAATGAGTTATTTAACCAGTTTTATGTTACAATATAGTTACCTTACGGATACCTCAGAAGACATTCCAGAGAAAGAATTATAATAGATGGAAAGGACAATTCGCAACCTTAACCAGTGTGTTTGCTCTAAGTTGGATAAAGTGTTATGAACAAAAGTATACTTTACTTAAAGTGTCCAGTGTTAAATGCATATTTAGGCCAACGATTGCTGTTCTTCTATTCTCGTGGAAAGTGTTATTTTTATGCGTGTCTTGTCTTAATATTCTGCACTATAAAAAACTGATCACATTTTATTATGACGGTGGGCCTGAATATGTATAGCGGTTATTCGGATTTCGATACTTATTTCTTGTGATATTTTTTTTGGAAACTGATGTATTTAAACTGTTCAAGCAAAACTATATTTTTAATGTATTTGACTATTAAATAAATATATGTATAAAGATTTACGTCAATTGGATTTTCTTTTAATGCCTTAATAATAAAGCAAAGCGCAATTTAAATGCTTGACCGGAATAATGCTGGAGCAGTATAAAATTGCGTGATTATGATAATACGACTGTTTCGTCTACTAAAGAATTGGAGTTCATCCGTTTTGGACAAATGGTAAATTCCTGAGTGTCCTGGTACAAAAACTACTAGAACTTTTTACTGGGTCGATGAATACCATTTATTTTTTTGTTGATGCACTAATCATTTATTCGCAATATTGTGCTCTTTGGAAAATCTTGTAGCATTCATAGCTTTTCCGAAAAAACGATTTCTGTTTTCTTGTCCCTTTTTGGGGATCAAGAAAAAGAAATTCCAAGCCATCTAACCGTAAAATGTTCTCGCACTGTGTATCCTGTTGGTATATGCATAGAATTAACTGACAAAATTAAAAGTAGGGCAAAAAGTAATTTAAAATGCTATCAACAGAAAAATATCATAATCAAAAAAATTCCAAAATGTATCAAGCTCAAAAAATATATAACTAATAATCAGTTCCCTCTCATTAAATATAATTAAAACACTAAAACCAAAAGGGTAATGTGAAAAAGAAGAAGCTTCAAGTAATTACCGTCCAGGAACCGGTGCAATCTCAAATCGAGTTTTTTTTCACGCGTAGAAAAGATGGTTTGAAAAATGATTAATAAGACGTTGAAAATTCCCAGAGTCTTTACACTTTCACGCTTGAACGGGGCATTCTGCGAAAAAAAGACTGATAATTTCTGATTAATTTAATGCGTTAACATTTCCTTTTACAGCCTCCCCATCCTCCGGTTAACTGGCCCAAAAAGTTTCCACCTTGATTGCCGTGCCCTCCATGTCCACCATGACCATGTCCAGGTTTCTGATGTCCTCCCCCGGAATTCCATCTAAAATATTCCAATTTGAAGCGTTTAACAAAAAGTCTTCGTTAATTTTTATATAGGAAAACGCACCCTCCGTTATTTGCTAGTCCCGCAGCCAAAATGCCCCCATATAGGGCCGCAAGTCCAAAAAATTTCGGTTCAGCTGATGTCTCCAGTTTGGAGACTGGTTGACTGGCGCAAAAGCTCAAGCTCAAAGTTAAAGCTATGAGTGATATGAATGCCTTCTAAGAAAACCAAAAAAAAGTTGTTAACAAAGAACTTTTCCCAAATGTTAGCCAAAATTAATACTTACATTGACCATTTTACTGTTAGATGCACCTCCACTTTACCGCGCTTCACTTTCTACACTTGAACACTACCGAGACAGATTTAGTTTATAATCAATTTTCTATTTGTTTAAACATGTTGGGTGTTCAAGGCATTGGTTCAGATCTGAGACATCCGTGAGACAAAGTATGCCGTAATCAATGTGCAATTTCTCTTATATAGTGCCGCCTTCATTTTTTCTTATGTAAGGATTTTTAGGCTGACCGATTCGGAGAGACTAACGGAGACATTTATGAAATTCTCGGCCCCACATACACAAGAACACCGGTTTCTTGGTAAAAGGAAATGTTTCATTGGATTCTTCAAACGTTTTTAAACATCGACCTCTATTAATCCTTGTTTAAATGCATTAGGTCCTTTATAACTAAAAATTCATTTAATTTTTCAGAAGTATAAAATTGAATGCATACTGAAAAGGTGTTAATCTGCCAAGCAAATAAAAGAGCGTTAAAATTCACGGCAAAAAGCTTTCGGTGATTTTTTTGACAACAATGTTGTAAGTGGTACTCGGTAAAAACAGCGACAAATCACGCAAAGATGAGAAAGTTATAAATAAACAAACTAACTTGCCTATAGGGTGTCCCCAAAAAGTAAAAATTGGTGCCAGAAATGTTTACCTTCAGGATACTTAAAAAGCTGATTTACGATAAAAAAAAATTGTCAGTATCAACTTGTTCAATTAATGCATTTTTCCCAAAGAAAACCGTAAGATATAAACAAACGCAAATCGATATTATTAATGTTTGCAGTAAACAATCGATTTTATAGAGGTTGGCGCTTTGAAAATGATGCAGAAACATTTTCAGGGATTTAGAGAGGGACACATTATGTCCCTAAAAAACCTTATCTTTTTCCATAATGCGTCGGCCTGGAATTTAAAGTTTAGGTGCCCGAGCACTTTTCAACTTTGCATTTCTAAATACCGGAAAATGCTTCTGTTCCATTTTCTCTGTGCCACTCTGTATATTTTCAGATAGTTGCTGCAAATACTGCAATCAATTGCCAGCTTAAAAGCTTTTGTAGTTCTGTCGACAAAATTCTGAGAATAAACAGACGGAGTTGATGACCACTTTAATACGGGCGGGCGTTACTATCTAACAAACTCACATTTGCTCATTAATAGTTAATTTTTTTTTATAGCCAACGTGGTTTTACTAAGACATACCAACAAATCACAACATTAAACATCAACCAACTTTATTGACCGACTTGACCCATCTGCATTTTGAAAAACCGTCAGGTAGTTATTTTTTTGCGTGTTATTCTTAATGCAAACCCATTAATTTTGACACTTGATTTAAATAATACGTAAGCTTGACCTACCTTTATAAGCGGATATTTTATTTAAATTTTGCCATAACTAAATCAATAGAGAATAATTGAAGAAAAAACATAGTAAGAATCCAATTAAATAAAAACAACAACAAACAGGTGTGGAAATAACGCAATAAATTCTTATCAACGGTTCTCAAGCTCCAGTCAAAAAATTACAACAACAAGAAACACGCAAAAAAATACGTTAATTAGTACTTAAATAGAATGTGAATTATATATAAAACTTTTTGATTTGTCTAAGATTTTATCAAACCTCGTCACATGCAATGACTGAAATGTTAAATAAATATTCAATTTATTGTATAATAAAATATTGAGCCCACACTCTATTCGTTGCCTAGAAGCGTTTCCGATCGATTTCGCTTTTCGATGAATTAACATTAGTAATTTCAGTATTAAATTTATTTACTTCGTAATGCGGTTAAGAAAATGGTTTTGATGCAAATAAACTATGAATGTTTTGCAGCTAACATGCATATGTGCATAGAAAATGTGTGGCATTTCTTGTATGATTTAACATAAATTGGTAAGAAAACCGATAATTCGACGAAATTCCGAAAGATCGCTATCTCAGAAAACACACAAAACTGGTTCTAAAGAAGCATTTGAGTCTTTGTCTGTCCACATGTTCATTTATGTTTGCCAAGGCAGGACATAATTGATTGTTCCAACTTCCTGATAGGAACACAAAAATGTATTTTAAAAAATCATTAAACATTCATGTTGAGCACAAGACTATTATAAATCAGAGCAAACAATAGTTTTCGTTTTTAACTGATTTTCCAGATTCCATTTGCTCAGAAATAATTTCGTAAGAGGAAAACACCAAAAACTTTAGAATGAAGAAACTCTCGCCTTGTATGTAAATTCGAGTGGCGGACATCAACTACACATCTTTAGCTATAAGCCATTTGAACAAAACCTGTTCATAAAAGGACTTTAATTATGGCAAGTTTGTTTAGCAATTGTAGAATGAAAATACAGAATAAACGATGCATGATTGAAAAATCTGCGAATTTAAGAACACAATCTATCTACAAAATAAAGTGGAAACTCCAAATTAAAAAAACGCGCTCTAAAAGAGCAAAACGAGCAGCTATAGAAAGTACAGCAAATCTAGAACTTTTACAATGACATTTTCCGCATAAGTTAAGATATATTGCAAAACTGGTATGGTTAGATGCACTGGTATTCCCATCAACTGCACTGTCCTCGAAGTAAAATTTCCAAGAAAGCGTAAATATGCAAAACAGTACAAGTTTTTTATACTTCTCGACTTTTTTGTTCAGGTTGACTCAATATGGATTAAAGATAATCATGCAAAACAGCGCATCTAATTTTGACTAAGCACCAAAAAAATCTAAGAATGGCCAATCTCCGAAAATGCCAAACAAGTAATTCATTGATGAACAAAATAGCGCGAAATCGTGGAAAACAAAAGCTTTTCATTTGATAATTTATCAAGGTGAGAAGCAAAGTTTGTTTTGCGTTCCGGCTGCTTTCAACATGTTTTATTATTAATTTCTATATGCCATTTTACTGCAGAATAGCGGAAACTTAAAACAATAATTAATGAAAACACTTTTTTGCTACAGCTGCAATAAGTTCCACACCAAACCACTTGAATACAATCAAAGCCGGATCATAGTTAGGCATAAATCTTTTTACATACATTTTTTTAATCATTTTTAAGTACTAAAACTAGTCAAGCAGGATGACCAACCATCAGTATTCCTCTTTACATTAAAAAAAAATTGTAAATACCCCAACTAACTAAGTTAACTAAGTCAGTGCAACCACGATTTAAACTTAAAGACAGAAAAAAGCTTTAGATTCTAGGGCATTTTGTAGGCCTCGCAGAAGACAAAGAATATTTACAACCAACAAATTTCAATAGCTTCCCTGAACTCCACATCTTCGCAAATTATAACGTAAATAAAGTACTTAATACGATTATTCGCAAATAAGGCTCGTGAATAAGACCAAAAAAACCCAAACGAGTAGTTGTACGTCACGATCGTATAAAAAGAGGAACAGCCTCCTGAAGAAGATCTAGAATCCCAGTGCAGTCAAGCTAAATAGGTCAGTGATCTGAGGTGTGTGCAATTTATCAAGAACAATGATTAAGGTAGGAATTCGCCTTTTCTCTTAAGTAGATTCAACATTTTTAATTGCTTTTTTTTGTTTTTTTATTATTTTTTGTATTTGCTCCTGTATGTGCCAGAAAACTCTTATATGCTAAATCAAGAAAAATGTTGTTACTTTTTAGGAAACAATAATTTTTGCGACCGCACTTTTGGCGCTGAGTCAAGCTATGTCCATCGACAAAGAACCGAATGAAAAGGTGGCGATTCCAGTAGCTGTTGAAGACAAACAAGATGTTCAGGAAAGTGATGATTTGCAACCTGAAGCCAGCGCTTGGGGCGGACGGGGGTAACAAACAATGTTCAGAATTAGTTGCAGTTTACCGATTTGAAAATACGTTTTTAGTCGTGGAGGATGGGGCGGACATGGCAAAAGAGGTGGGGGATATGGACACTACGGAGGATGGGGCGGTGGCCACGGAGGTTACGGAGGTGGATACGGAGGTTACGGAGGTGGACACAGAGGACATTGGGGCTAAACAGGGATTCCTACTCGGTTATCACTTTTGTTCAGTCAGAACAGCGATTTTGAATAATAATTCATTGTAATTTTGGTATGATTAAAGACGTGTATGTATAGGGTTTAAAGTTTTAATTTTTTCGATTCCTAATAACTTTTTAAGGTTTTTTTTTCATCATTCTCGCACCTGATGTTCTACGAAAGCTGGCTTTTAGAACGGTTTCAAAGACGATTTCTTAAACCTGGCACACACTTTTTATAAGATTTTTTATGTTTCAATAATCTTTCCTCTAAACAAAGCAGCAGAAGATTATCTAAATTATCCTTGACCTTGTACCGATTGATGTTAAGAGAAATGCCAATCAATGAAAACTAAACCGTTAAAGCCAATTGTAAGCGATCAGGTGGGATCAGGTTTAGCTTCCGCAATTTCTTCTACAATAACAGTAATATCCATTTATGCCTTATAATTTGATGGTATTTCAAGAAGAAAATCAAGTTGCAAGAGTTTCCCAAGTGGGTGCTTTTTAGTTAATTCATTATGCGTATGGTAAGTAAGGAGAATTAACTTAACAGAAATTCTTTACAAAACCTGAAACAGAAGAAAAAAGACTCGTTTCTTTACATTTTTGTTCCTAATTAAATATGTTTTAGATATTGTACATAATTATTTATATTGCGTCGTTGGCCGGTCTCCTACGTTTATCGAATGGCTCGCCTATACAAAGAAGCAATAAACGACAGTCCCGCATGTTCGGTAATTTATTAGGATGGTGAGTTTTATCGAAAAACAAATGTTAAACGAAGAGTTTGAAATGTCCAGCTTCACGTCAATTCAAAGAAAATCGAATTGAGACAAAGCGTCGATTATTCAAAGTGAACTGAAGCACAGGATCAAAATGAGGCAGCGACATTCTTTGGCTCCAAAATAGACGATCTTACTGAAGTTTTGTTAAAAAAGTGTCTGCCGCCTCTGTCATTGATGGTCAAATGAAACACAAAATTCAAGAACTTTTTACTTGGCAGCTGGGATTATTTTTTCATAATACCTTTATGCTTCACACACAGCCAGTTTTATTATGATTGTTTTGAGCTAAAAAGTGTTGTCTTTTCCAGAAGCAGATTTTAAAAAAATATGTTTTTATAGGTTTGGAGGTGGAGGAAATAATCAACACAATAGACCAGGTGGAGGAGGTCCCGGACCAATTCAAACTCTGATTTTAGGATACGTGGCTCAACAGGCTATTTATTATTATTTCGGCGACGAAAATGACGAAAGTGATGAAGATGACGACTGGTAGTAACGGTGTGAAAGCAACCGATTGATGCTCAATAACTCTTCAACGGAGTATTTTTTAAGATAAAAAAATGTTTTTTTTTTGTAAATATGGGTTCCAAAGTACAAGAACTTCAAATAAAAAATGTGAAAAATTGCAATATTTTTTATCCACCAGCAATGGTTCTACGTGCAGTTTTGAAAAAATTACACTCCCCGGTTTCCGCGTAAAAAGGTCACAATATGAATTTATAAAGTGTTTGGGTCAATAATAAGGAAGAAATCGTCGGATAAAGTTTGTGAACGCTCAAAAAACGCTTGAAATGAGCCGAAAATGTCTATTATTTCGGATCTGAAACTTCTAGCATGTTTTTCAATGAGTTCCACGCATTCCTCGCGTCGGTAGCTGAAAATGATGCTAAATTTAAGACATTTTGAGAAAATTTTCATTTCTTTAAAAGATCGACCAATCGATCGCAATCGACAACAAAAGCAGCATCAAGCATTTACGAAAGCTTAATTAATTTTCAGATAAAGTTGAGTTTATTATAAAGTTTACAGAAAGTTTCAATGCAGTATTTCACTTTCAATGGACTTCAATTAACATAAACTTAAACTGAACGCTTTCCCCAATGCATGGTATAAGCGGGCATACCACACAAGTAAATTTCTGGGTTTTCATGTTACAAAAGTGACTGTTTTTTTTTTTAATCGCTATTAAACTTACCCCAAACAGAAAATGTTGCAAACGTCACATCTAAATTGAAAGATGCGCCAAATAGACAGAATGCGCTAGAAATGACCAGCAGAAGCACAGATACTTGTCTTTATCTATGGCACAGATCACAGAGTAACCTCTATGATATGTGAGCAGAAGTCAATAGTTTGTTTACAAACTGTATAGCAAATGTTTCCATCTATAACATGAAAAACGCCGTATAGAATGAATAACATTTTAAGATTAACAAAATTTAGTAAAATATACAGCAGGACGGTGGCTGCTACCATTCGAAATGCGTCTTCCAGTGGATTGGGCATTAACTTAGCCTCTCAAAACACGTCCACTTTAGTTCCAATTCCACAGTGCCAGGGCTGGAACAAACACCGTGACAAATGGAATTACCTGCCAGCTGGTGTTATTTTCCTTCCTGCATTAGCTACAGTTTATTGTGATTCGTATGATTTACGTGGCAAGCAGGAGAAAAGGCTCTTCAAAGCTATACAATATGGGCTCACTCATGAGGTCAGCAAGTAAGTAACTGATATTTAGGGCTCACCCCACTTACCATAAAGCTAAGTTACTCAATAGTTTAAATCACAACGTTCAATGCCTTGTTGCAGCTTGATAAAGAACGGTGTGGATGTAAACGCACGACACCCACTAGGTTGGACTCCGCTGATGGTTGCCACGATTAACAGGCATTATGATATAGTGAAATTACTAGTAAAGAATGGGGCCAATCCTAACATGGGCGATAACTACATCAACCCTCATAGAACATCTCAGGAGAAGCGACTGCATGCCATTGAAGGTATAGCTAGTTTTGCAACTGGACGCTAACCACACGATTATACTTTCCTGATAATTTAAACTGTGCATCAATCCACTGACTGAAATAAGATTATGTAAAGAGAATCAAAGACAGATTTAATAATGTGGGGCTCTAGCAGACAAACATCTGGCCGTAATAAAGAAATAACTAAGACATACATTTAAGGAATAAACAGAGAATTGATTTAACAAGCAAACAGATACTTATATCAGAATGGAAACGAAATGTTAGTTAAGAATATCCTTTAAACTTGCGATGATTCAGACTCAGATTCTCAACAGTTCTTCACTAGGAATTGTTTTCAATTATTTGCAGTTCTCATGATACGAGATGAAGAGTTTTCGGGCGAACTGAATAACAAGGCTACCTACATCGGTTTTACAGCTTTACATTATGCTGTGCTTATTGACAATTTGGGTATTGCCCAGCTTTTGATTGAGAACGGCGCTAATCCGTGTTTGGAAACCGAAGCCGGACAAAAGCCGCTGGTTTATGCTAAAGACGGCCCCATGAAGGAGTTTTTAAGCCAACAAACTGAAAAGGTATTAACCAATCCTTGCACAAAACCTTGAATCCACTTCACATGGTTGTTTCAGTATGCAGAAATTGAACGAGAAAAAGAATTGGAGCAGCGCAGAAAATTTCCGTTAGAAGATCGTTTGAAGAAGCACATTGTTGGTCAGGAAGCGGCGATTGCTACGGTAGCTGCAAGTAGGTTTAAACATGCTGAGAAATTTACGTCCAATGGAAAAGGCATAATTGATTATTTTTTAGCTGTAAGAAGAAAGGAAAATGGGTGGACCGATGGGGATCATCCCGTAGTGTTTCTCTTCCTAGGCTCGTCTGGAATCGGGAAAACTGAATTGGCTAAACAACTCGCCTACTATATCCACAAAGATAAAACCGAATCGTTTATTCGCTTGGATATGTCGGAATTTCAAGAGAAACACGAGGTAGATGAACAACTCAACTCAGTGGATTGCGTGAGACCAACAGAAGTAGTTTTGACTCTAGGTGGCAAAGCTGATTGGAGCCCCTCCAGGTTACATCGGTCATGACGATGGAGGGCAATTGACGAAAAAATTGAAAACTTGTCCGGATGCGGTTGTTTTGTTCGACGAAGTCGACAAAGCCCATCCAGACGTTCTGACTGTTCTGCTTCAACTCTTCGACGAAGGACGACTGACTGATGGACAGGGTAAAACCATCGAATGCAAGAATGCCATTTTCGTAATGACGTCGAATTTGGCTAGTCAGGAAATTGCCCATCATGCGCTCAATCTACGAGCTGATGTTGAAAAAGTTAAAGAAGAACGCTTGAAGCAAAGCAGCTCAGGTAAAGCAACGAGTTAATCTACCAGTATATCCAATTCCAATCGAGTTGCTTTCTCAGAGGATGCGCATTTTTCCGAAGACATCGTTATTTCGCGCAAATTCAAAGACGAGGTGGTCAAGCCGATCTTGAAAAGGCATTTTAAGCGCGACGAATTCTTGGGACGTATAAACGAAATCGTTTATTTCCTGCCATTTTCGCGGCGGGAATTATTGCAGCTCGTCCAGCGAGAACTGGAGTGCTGGGCACAAAGGGTAAGTGAACCGCAGTCTCGTTTTAAGCCCAATTCTTAAATTTTACTGCAAGCTTAATTTCTGTGAATTGGTTGAAAACTTGGCATGATTGCGGACCTTAAAATGCGTAATGTTTTACTTAAATAAGTATACTTTTGAATAAACTTGTAATTGTTGCAGGCAAAAGAGCGGCACAAAATCGACATAAAATGGGACCGAACAGTTGAATCGGCGCTTGCTGATGGTTACGACGTTTGTTATGGCGCTCGTTCCATCAAGTACGAAGTGGAACGAAGAGTTGTGAATCAACTGGCGGCCGCTCACGAAAAGGGAGTGATAGGAAAAGGGTCGAGTATCAATATAACAGCAACGTGGCCGGAAAAGTGCGAGTATGCAGAAATACAGATTCAAGTCAAGAAAAGCGGCTTTAAGGACTTCATTGATATTGCCAGCATCGATAAGAAGCCCATTACAAACACCTTTAACTACTGGTCAAAACCAAAAGAAGCAAAGTGAGCTGAATGTATTTTTATTTATTTTATTTGTTATTTAATAATTAAAGTATACGATAAAAGCCCGTGGGTTTTCTGAAAGAAAAATGGTGCTCTTTTATTTCAACTAGTAAACCGCAATTTTGAAACTGTGTTATTCACTTTTTATTTTAATATAATTGAAAAATTATTATATTATTTGCAAATCACGATGTTTTCGAATGGCTTTTAGAATTTCCTGAATCTAAGTGCTTCAGATACAATGTAGATCATCAACAAATTTATGAAAATGTAGATAAAACGCCTGCAATTTTCGATCACAAAAGGAAGAATCACGATGGCGTGCGGGCTGTGTATTTTATTATCGGTGGCTGCGGTGTTAGTAGCCATAAAATTGTATGTTAAATTAACTACAGGGTGGTGCAGAAGCAATGTGTGTTTAGTGGGAAAAACCGCCATTGTTACCGGAGCTAATACAGGTAATAAAAATTTATCCACGAGTTGCATATTAAGACAAAATATTCCTAAAGTTGCACATTTTTGCCTGAAAAGCACTAGTTTTTAATGTATTTTTATGTAGGAATACGATTAAAAATCGAATCTAATTCTAAAATTAACATTTTCAAGTAGCCACTAGACTAATATTCCAGACTAGACTAGACCTTATCTATTGAACATGTACACTTATAAAATGCTTAACATTGATAAATGATGAATCGATATTCAAAATTCGTTGTTTTACCATTCCAGGAATTGGATACGAAACGGCTGAAGACTTGGCCAAACGAGGCGCAAGAGTAATTTTGGCTTGCCGGGATCCAGCCAGAGGAGAGGACGCAGCGAAAAAAATAATCCAAGCCACCGACAACAAAAATGTGGAATTTAAGCTCCTGGACTTATCTTCTTTTAAATCCATCAGGCAATTTGCTAGCGATATAATTGCAACTGAAGAAAGGTAAGTTTCAATGCGATTTGTGCGGGCATCGCAAATGAACTTTGTGGTTTATTGTAGGCTGGACATTTTAGTAAATAACGCGGGACTGGGAAGTACGGCCGACAAAACGACCGAAGATGGTCTGTTGTTGATAATGCAAGTCAACTATTTTGGGCCCTTTTTGCTAACTAATCTGTTGTTAAGTAAGTTGAATGGCCCAATAACTCCCCTAACAATTACAGTACGATTTAAACAACAATTTCAGATCTCATAAAGAAAACCCCAAACGCTCGTATAGTGAACGTTGCATCAATAGTGGCGAAGCGCGCTGGTGAATTTGATGTAAAGAACCCGAACACCGTTCCAGTTGCATATGGTCAAATGGATCAAGGTTTTCCTCTCTACTGTAGGAGTAAATTGTGCAACGTTCTTTTCACTATAGAATTAGCCAAAAAGCTAAGGGGCACCACTGTAACAACGTACTCTTTGCACCCGGGAGCAGTGCTAACTGATATTTTTAGGACCATGCCTCAGATAATGCGATTCATGGTAGAACAGATCATCAATTGGTTTTGCAAGGTGAGCCTAAGTTCTCCAACTAAAGATTAACTCAATTGAGTTGCTGATTCCTTTACGAAAAGGTGATACATTTTTAGAGTCGCTTGGAGGGAGCGCAAACAACGATCCACTGCAGTGTGGCCAAGGGAATTGAATCTCTTTCGGGAAAACACTTTCAGGATTGTCACCTCGTAGACACCTACAAAAAAGCTCAGGATCCTGATATGTCGAAGCAATTGTGGAAGGTATCTGAAGAAGTGGTTAAATTAAATAGGAACTAGGTGTTTTTGTGTATATGTATTTAAATAATATACTTATCAGATTGGACTTTGGGCGAAACTGAATAAACCAATATTGATGGGTTTAATTTAATTGAAAAATAGACAAAGCGTAAAATTATTGGCGCGATGTTTCCGAATCGCTTTTAGATAGTGCTGTATCTAATCTAAGTACCATATACACTTTGGATGATTTAACAAATTTAGAAAAATATAGATAAAACGCGAGCAATTTTCGATTACAATAGGAAGAACCACGATGGCGTGCGGGCTGTGTATTTTATTATGGGTGGCTGCGGTGTTAGTAGTCATAAAATTGTATGTGAAATTAACTACAGGGTGGTGCAGAAGCAACGTGTGTTTAGTTGGGAAAACCGCCATTGTTACCGGAGCTAATACAGGTAAGGAAAATCCTCATACGAGTTGCTTACTAAGTGAACACAAATACATTTTTATGTAGGAACACGGTTAAAAAACCAGTCCAATCCTAAAATAAATATTTTCAAGTTGCGATGACTTACACCAAGCACCTTATCTATTGAATACGTAGATAAGCCCTTTTTTGATGAATAATAATCAATGTTAAAAATTCGATGTTTTTCCTTTCCAGGAATTGGATACGAAACGGCTGAAGACTTGGCCAAACGAGGCGCAAGAGTAATTTTGGCTTGCCGGGATCCGACAAGAGGGCAGGACGCGGCGGAAAAAATAATCAAAGCCACCGACAACAAAAATGTGGAAGTTAAGCTCCTGGACTTATCTTCTTTTAAATCCATCCGGCAATTTGCTAGCGGTATAATTGCAACTGAAGAAAGGTAAGTTTTAACGCAATTTGTGCGGGCGTCGCAAATAATCGTGGTTTATTGTAGGCTGGACATTTTAGTTAATAACGCAGGACTCGGAAGTAAGGCCGATAAAAAGACCGAAGATGGTCTGTTGCTGGTCATGCAGGCCAATTATTTTGGGCCCTTTTTGCTAACTAATCTGTTGCTCGGTAAGTTAAAGGACCCAATACCTCCCCTAACAATTATAGGACAATTTTAACGGCAATTTCAGCATTCATAAAGAAAACCCCAAACGCTCGTATAGTGAATGTTGCATCAGCAGCAGCAAAGCACGCTGCTGGATTAGATGTACAGAACCTGAACACTATTCGACATGATCGAGCAGGACAGGGTTTTGCACTTTACAGTAGGAGTAAATTGTGCAACATTCTTTTCACTCTAGAATTAGCCAAAAGGCTACAGGGCACTACTGTAACAACGTACTCTTTGCATCCGGGTGTAGTGCTAACTGATATTATGAGGCGGGTGCCTCAAACGCTGCGATTCATAATAGAACAGGTCATCAATTGGTTTTGCAAGGTGAGCCTAAATCCTCTAAAAGTTAACTCAATTGAGTTGCTGATTCTTTTACGAAAAGGTGATAATAAGTGACATTTTTAGAGTCGCTTGGAGGGAGCGCAAACAACGATCTACTGCAGTGTGGCCAAAGAAATTGCGTCCCTATCGGGAAGACACTTTCACGATTGTCACGTCGTAGACACCTACAAAACCGCCCAAGACCCTGATATATCGAAGCAATTGTGGAAGGTATCTGAAGAGGTGGTTAAATTAAATAGGAACTAGGTATTTTTGCCTGTAAGTATTTAGATAATATACTTATCAGATTGGACTTTGCGTTTTTTATTAGGTAATAGGCTGCAAGGTTTCACGCTAATCATCACCCCGTATTTGCGCTAATCTAATCGGCTTTTTTAGAAATATGTTTATCTGTAAATTAATACGAATACTGCAATTCATAGGACAATGCTATTACTACGTACTTTAATTAGCTCGAATGTTTTTTCAGTTTAAGTCCAATCATTACGCTGATCTTGGATTGCTCAGTCTGAGCCCTTACTTACAAGAGCAGGAGCAGATCTTGAAAAAATCTATATCGCTTCAATAACTGATTTTATTATACAACTTGCCAATGGTCTCTTAGGGCTTTTGGTACTTGGCCTGTATCCACACCCTGTACATCTTCAACAGTCTCCCTCTATTAACCTGCAGTCTTCTATCAGCTCTATTTTCCTTTTCAATAAATCCTTGCTCAGTAAAGAGAGTGCTTACCTCCGCTAAAAACAAGATTCCATTAATTTCTGTGGTTGGTTGCTACTTTTAAAATTAAGCTTGGATATATTCTGCACATACCTTCAGTGAAAAAGTATACTCTCGTTCCGTCTCCTCTAACGTAAAAGTTGTCCCCTAACGATCTGCCAGGTTTAAATCGTAACTGCGCCAGGTCAAACCTTCCGTAGTCTCTAAATAAAACTAATCCTCCAGGTTTCAAGCATTTATAAATATTGGAAATTATATTCTTGTATCTGGAACAACGGTAAAAGTAACCCAGTGTTTGAGGCGCTTAAATGAAGCAACGAACGGTTTGATTACAAGCGTAAAAGCTATTTCAGGAAATGAAATAATACCTACTTACTTCTCTGGATGAACTGCTGATAGAACAAATATAACTACAACAATATCAATGCTGTTTTGGGGAAACGGCACAGACCATTCATCTTCAGCTATATCCTGTACGAAGACATTGCATCTTTTAGGGTCAAAGTTATCGGACTCCCTCATGATTTGAATGGCTTTTTCGGAAAAATCACAACCGTAAACCCTCAGCTGTTCATTTTTACTGTATTGCAATATCGGAAATATTGTATTTCCGACACCGCAACCCAGTTCAAAGATCGCTGATTCTTTATGGGGCGCAGCTGACAATTCAGGAAATTCTGTAAACAGCCAATGCCTATCTTTGAAAAACTTGTTATCATGGATATCATAGAACGAATCCCAGAACTTATTGGCCTCTTTGTCGTACTTTTCAATCTGGTTTTCTGAAAATTGGACTGCGCTATTCAGTTGCACCTTTTTCAAAGCTTCCTGTTCTTGGTCTGCGTTCCATTCCACGTCGTCCCTGCAACGTTCACGCTGTTGATCAGAAGATTTAAAATAATTCTTAATCTAATACCAAGCATTGAAAGAGAAAATATTGGATCCATCTCTAAGGTATCGAGATCCAAACTTGGGTTTCTTTCTGAATCTTGTATGACAATATCTTGACTGAATAATTTTTGAAAACAATTTCGTACCAAGCATTATGTTGGAACACATTGCTATCGTCGGTTAAATAGCGGTTTCCAAATTGAGGCCTCAAATTGTCTGGATTTGTTCCAGAGCTGTCCATGTTTACCCAAAATGGAAATTTTAGGTTATATTTGGTTAGGTTGTTCCAAAATCCTTGTTGTTTTTGTGATTGTTTTATTTTAACTGTCGCAGTGACAATTGTAGTTGGTTAAGTTTTTGAGCGGTAATCATTGAAAACGAGAGTTTTTAGAACATTCTGATTAAATATGAACATTCCGTTATTCCCCAAACGCACCCCCAAATTAACCGACGGGGCTTGGTTCAATGCGGATCCCCCTTGTGATCCGGAGGAGGAAGTAACCCAGTTGGAGAAGGAGCACCAGGAATGGGTATTTTTTGTACACTACAATCGCTCCTTTGAGTTTTTAAAATTCGTTTCCATTTCAGATCGAATCTATTACAAAAACTCACTGTGATTTAACACCCATTGGGAAAACCTCCTCAGATGTAAGTTCTTCCCGATTCTTATGGCAATAGTACCAAAAATCCTTCTGATGGTTTAAAGTACATGGACGAACTTAAATTGATAAGGGGCAAAACATTGAAAACATGTGAATATTTTTCAGTACGTTGGCGACGATGATGAGGAGGAGGAAGATGATAATGACGACGACGACGATGATGATAGTGAAAGTCATGATGATGAGGAGGAAGATGAAATCGAAATGGAAGCGGCCAATTAGAAAAACTGCATTAATTAGAGAACCATGTATTTTTAAACTAAGTTTTCAGTCTAATGGTATCGGTGGAACCAACAAAGTTAAGTAAAATTAGGAAAAACTAATAGATTTCCCTTTTTCAAATGCACTTCTATTCATATAAATTTATAGAAATTACTCATACAGCTCAAAGTCTATTCGACTCAGTGAGTAAAAATTGGAACTTTCACCACACTTTCTGGCCATCACGCCCGGCTTGAAATGGTTCTCGTTCTGCCATTTGATCATTTGGGCGGTACTAAACGGACCTTCCACTTTGTCGTCATCTGCCGACCATTTGAACTCCCATTTTAACTCAACGGGTTGCAAGTTGTCTGCGGAAGTACTTCCCTCCGCAGTTTTATCACTTGTTGACGGCTCGTCTGCAACAAGCAACAGTAAATTCATCCCTAAAGCCCCTTCACTTGTTAGTTACCGTCTAATTTTTCTTTTTCCTTAACTTCGAAATCATCAGCATACATGTCGAGTTCTGGTTCAGCATTTGCCGACTTTTTTCCTTTGCTGTTTTTCAGTTTTGCTTGAATTAATTCGTATGTTTCCTGATACACATCCATGTTTCCCAATCGGGTTAGGATCTAAAAGATTCTCATAGCATAACAAGACTTTTCTTAGTAGATTTTTTACTTGCTTGATTGGCCAATTCTGTTAGTTTGGTAACGTCTTCAGATATTATCAATGTTCCAGCTTTCTTTCTTCTCAATCGTTCCACGCTGGACAGTTTAGTCATATCGCCCCCAAGACGTTTGATGGCCTTATTTATGGTCTCTTTTGGCTGGAGAAATACTAAAGAATGGATGTTTTCATTAGTTGCGAAAAGAAACGTAGATATTGATTTTCTAGTCAAGTTTAATAAAAGTGGGCAATAAATTCGCAATTACCTAAGATTTCTTTATAGGTCTCCAGTTCAGCAAACGGTTCTTCAGCTTCATCTTCTGAGTCACTGTTTGCTTCCATGCCGGTTTCTTCCACATCATATTTATTGGCAGTTTCGGAATTGTGTTTTATTTTATGCCAGTCAATGTTATCAAGCCAATTGTCGCGTACCTTTAGTAAGTCAATAAAGCTAAGATTGTTTTCTTGGAAAGTATTCGCAAATACGTGGCTGTACCAAGGAGCCAGTTACCTCTTTTTCGTTTTTCCAAATAAAATGACCATCTCGATCAAAATGCCCTTCTTCCAGTTCCTCTCTCATGTTAAAAGCGGTCATTCTTTGTTCACCATCTTGTCCAGCCATTCCTTAAATGCAAATGATAAGGGTTTTATTGTTTAAAAGTGGATGTTGAAGTTAAGTTGTTTCAAAAAGTTGTACTTTGTGGGTGCTAAAATTGGGTCAAAATAGAGCAATCAAAGCCTTTCTCTATTGTCCATTTTCCTGTGGAACTGCACACGAGTCTTGGAATCGTAATAAGAGGAAAACTAATGAATAATTCATTGATTTTATCGGCGGCACAATTCAAAATCAATGAATCGATGAATATAGCAACCGATTAAAGGAGCTAACTCACCATCTTCCTCCCCTTCTATATCATTTTCATCCATAACATTACTGTCGTCCACATAGTCCTCTTCATCACTATCAAGTGTGTGTTTCTTAGTGTTTGGTTCAGCTGCATGGCGCTTTCTAGACGGTTCGGAAAACAGATTTTCAAATTTTCTCTTCGACATGCTTGCACAGAAAATTGAACAGTATTTTCACCACATAAACAAGCCCCAATATTTAAAAAAGTGTGGTTATGTCTGGTTTTTTTTGGCAGATGAATTTCTGTCTAATTTAAACAAGGTTAAAAATTACTGAATTAGAAAAAAAATTAAAAATTTGGAAAAATTGCTTATCGAACCGTTGCTTTGAGTTTAATAATTTTTCAAAAATTGCCTCTATTTTCCTACTGATTTTAGGCAAATATTTTGGGTTGGTTTATCCACCAAACTGAAAAACTTCCAATATAAATGCATAAGTTGGACAAAGATAAGCTAACTAACTACATCTCCGTCATCTCCTGCCACTTGCAAAAGCATCGATTGTTTCTATTGACAACATTGCTAGGGTAACTACTGAATATTGAACTAACCTTAAAAGGGTGACGTTTGTCAAGGGGCGAAAAAGGTTTTCAATAGTTTTAATTTTTTTCATTAATTTGTGCTAATTATGGTGTGATTTTAGCGAATAATCATGGGCGGTCACGGACATGGGCATGGCGATCATGGACACGGTCATCACGAGCCTTACGTAATTCCAGATTATCGAATCTACAAAGTGGCCGACTGCCCCAAACTGGTTGTTGTTGAAAAAGCCCTTGCGGCTCAAGGCTTAAAAGACCCCTGGTTGCGTAACGAAGCCTGGCGCTACCACAAGGGTTTTGGCACGAAGGCGCAGATGATGAAACTCACCTTTTTTCGAGGCTTTAAATATGGCTTCGCAGCCTTTGTATTGACTATGGTTGGCACCAAAATCTACGAACAACAATTTCCTGATGAACATGGACATGGTCACCATTAACTTGTGTCTTTACTGCTTTAGCGGAATGATTTGTAGTAAATAGCTGTTAAGTGTTTGCTGGAATTTTTGCTAATTGCCCCACTGCCAATCCCACGATTTTCTGGTTCGATATACGTTTTCAATGTTTAGTGTAAAACGTTATAATAGAAAATTTTATCTTTTAGCAGTGAACAGTGTTTGTTTAGCTTCGTAATCCGTCAGTTGCGCTGAGCGAATTCGCAATCAGCTGTCCAGCTGACAACTTGCTCAGGGTCAGCATTTTTCAGATATAGATCTCTTTCATAATAGTTTATCTAAGTGCATTTTCTAGCTGTTTTGGCATGTTTTCCTTAAGGCAAATCGCTAACTTGGCTGTCAGGTAAGTGCCAGTGCTTTGTTGTTTATATACATTACATAATTCTTAATTAACATTTGTTTGGTTAAGGGGCGCAAGGTCTAAGCACAGTTTGCCGGACCTTCCTTACGATTATGCTGCGTTGGAGCCTGTGATATCACGTGAAATTATGACCCTTCACCACTCGAAACATCATCAGACTTATGTGACCAACCTGAACGCCGCAGAGGAAAAACTCAAGTCTGCTGTTGAGAAGGGAGATGTGTCGTAAGTATGTAGGCTCCATGCACCATGATTGGCTGAAATCGCCCAGTTGCTTAGTAGTAGGTAGCTGTGGAAAGTTTCTAGGAGTTTTTAAAGTTTTTTCTCAATTTTGAGGATAACATTTACCAGATACTACATATTCCTTTTCTGATGGAATCATATTCGTTATCTCATTTCTTGGTCCGTTTCGTTAGAGCTGACAAGTGAAAAATCAATACACTGTTTTAAGAAAAAATAAGAATCCTAAGAAAAGAAATTAATTTCAGAACGCAAATTTCACTAGCGCCAGCCGTTAAATTCAATGGAGGAGGACACCTGAATCACTCAATCTTCTGGCAGAATTTAAGCCCCAGCAGCTCAGATCCCAGTGCTGATCTCTGCACAGCCATCAACAATTCATTTGGTGGCTTGGAGAACTTGAAAACTCAATTATCTGCAGCCACTGTGGCCATTCAAGGCTCTGGCTGGGGATGGTTGGGATGCGAACCTAAAACAGGTATTTTTCTTTGGTAAAACCCGTCCTAAGAAAGGTTTTCTGAGGCACATTTTCAGGCCTACTTCGAATAGCCACCTGTGGAAATCAGGACCCCCTTCAAGCTACCACAGGGCTGGTTCCGTTATTGGGAATCGACGTCTGGGAGCATGCTTATTATCTTCAGTACAAGAACGTGCGGGCTGATTATGTGAAAGCTATTTTCGACATAGTGAACTGGAAAGATGTTAGCGAAAGGTACCAGAAGGCCAAGGCATGTTAAAAATATATTAAGTTTATTAGTCAACTTTCGCTTTTTTTGTGAATGTAAAACCAACTACTATTGCTTTCCATACGCTATATTGCGATTAGAATAAAAATTTAATGCTCCAGTATCCAACGAGTTTCTATTAAATTGTACGCATCCGAATCTTCTAGAGAGATTGATAATAAAAATGCATCATAAATTGGAAGTAATAAGAATAAGAAAGGAACCAAAGCAGCATATTTAGGCAAAAAATGCTTAGAAATCGTTGTTCTGCGTTGCGTTTTTTAAGCCCTCACTCACGTTCGAAAAAAAAATAAAAATAAAAACTAGAATTATATTTGTCATGTACATCTCTTACATAAGATAAAGTTACTAGAACATAACTGTTTGTTCTAAATACAAAACTCGATATAAAATAGTTATACCTAATATCACATTTGAACAATAAATTACAATATCGTCTATTAACAGGGGAATAAATAACCGTTTATACACAATTGACTGTGTTGTTTCCATCGAGAACACAGCTGATTATTCTTCTGACGCTAAACCCTGGCTACCGGGGCAGAAGGCGAGGTTCTGGTAAAAAATACATGGACAATTGTGTTCTTTTTTTCAGCAGTAATGGTTTTGTTCTGCACCATGAGGATACTGTCGCCGGATGGGGCTTCAGTGCCCCTCCGTAGAATTGTTGATATCACTTGGGAAAACATCCCGTTGCTTTGACTCTGTGTTTCATTATTCGACTTTCTACAAAAGCAAATCAAGTTCCGCCACATGTAATACGTTTTCGGACTGTATACCCACAAAGTAGCAAAAATAATACTGCTCTTCCTTAACAGTAATTTCAGTAAAGTTAATTTAAACGTGTGGTAAAACTGGAACATGAGGTACATCAAGTAAGGCACACTGATTCCAACACTGATCACCAACAGTCGGTAGAATAGTCTTTCTAGCTTCACAGGACTTCTGCCGGCATTTATGAGGGTTTTCCGCACATCTTTTAAGGCAACTGAGGTCAGTAACGCCAAAACGCTACTAATCATCATGAAAAACAGCTGGAACGCCACCAGGACTCTGTTAGTGACTTCGCAGAATCCCGAGTGGTGATTGATGCTGATATGATTGGACATCAGCACATAGAACATGGGAATAGCTGAGAAGATCCAGACAATGGCATGGAGGCGACTGGATACTTTCTCTATGGCTTCAGTAGACCATTCTTTCACGGCACTGAGGAACCACACTAAGCAGAACACTGTCCACCAAAGAGTGTAGGCGATATCACAGAAGAGAAGAATTAAGGCGATTCCAACGCAGGAGAGACTTTCGGCTGGCTTCTCGTAAGCGAGATTTCCTGAAAATAGATTTAGCATGAAACTTGATGATGAAAAACTCGGTATTTAAATGAAAGGAGCAGCTATTTATCTGACGATCTATTGGGCTTAGCTCTCCAAACTTTGAGAAGAAACAGAAACTTGAGTATTTTTGAGCTAATTGAACTGTTTGTCAAAGTTAATGACAATCGATCAAATGCATGTCATGACTCCAAGTTAGGCCTGTCCCACGCATCCGTTTGGAGATCTGTCAGTTCGAACGACGGCGGACGAATTGACAGATCTCCAACCAATAGAAACACTTTCGGATCATCGTATAAACGGATGAATGGGTCACAATTGAGCGATCCCATTTAAAATGCATGTAACCTAGACAGATTTTCATTGAATTTAAAACGCAATAGTTCAAAAGTGGAAAGTTATATAGGGATATGGTTTGCAGTGTTGTATAGCCCAATGCTTTCAAAATCGCGTTTGGTACCTGATCTGGGCTTATTGCGAAGAAAAATACCCTAAAAAAGTCTTTACAAAATCTCTGATTTTCAGCGTTTTAGCTTGCTGTGTTGCCAGAGTGTCATTTGTAAATTCGGATAGAGCCAAACGAAACAATTAATTAATTGTATCATTCAATGAATTCATTAAATCATGAGGTGAATGCGTTTGGGCGTGTTTGGGAACCCCAGTTGGCGACATTGCCATTTCTCAGTCTGGTCACCCTGTGTATCATGGGCTTTAGTCGATTGTGTCATAGTGACGAGACCACTCTGGCCGAGAGTTAAGATTTCCAGAAATCCCAGAACTTTTCCAATTTCGGGCCGCAAATTTGCAACTTTTTGAAAGATTGAGTTTTCTTGGTCGTTTAATGCTTTTTTCCCAACCAGTAGTGCGACCTTTGCAACAAAAACGCGGTTTTTACTTGAGAAGTTTTTGAAGTCTAGTGTCAAGTAGAGATTCTGGAGGTTTCTTCAAGGATTTGAGGATTTATTATCATGGAAATGGACTGGTATCTTCTTACGGACTATGGCATATGGCATAATAAGAAAAAAAAGAAAAGTAAAATGGAAAAAAAACATGTCAATTTGTTACCTGCACAAGTATATGGTCCTTCTATACATCGAATTAAATAAATGGTGCTGCTAACAAACCCGCAGGAAGTCAAGTACAGGATAGGCCGAGCTGGCCATCTGAACCTTTTGGGTTGAATGATGAAAGTAATTAGCCCAAAAGTGGTGAAAATCAAGCAATTAATTGACGATATTCCAACCCAGAGCTGAAATTAAAAAATATGGATTAATTAACACTAAACCAAAGTAACAGTTGTGTAAAGAAACGCTATTTCAAAAAACATTTTCCGCTGGTTTCAAGTCCAAAAACGTAGGTAAGAACGGACTAAAAAAACTACATACTGAAAATTTGACGCTGTGCCTGAATTTTTCCACTTTTTTTGCTTAATTTTTTCCAAATTTTTACAGCTAAATATACAATTTTCTAAATCAAATAAGTTTCCACATATTTGTACCACCGCACACTCTTCTTGGAAAAGACGTTTTCCGGAAATTCGAAACAAATCCACATTTTGCAGAAAAAAATGCAACTTACCTCAAAAGTGGCAACTTCTTTAGGATCAAAATGCTGCTTGCTCTTGCAAGCAGGAACACACTTGCCCGCACTAGGCAAAGTGTTTGGTGGGCAACTGATACCCAATCCTGTATCTTCAGGGTTGAAATAATGGATTTGAATTTGCTCTATTTCCTCCGGTTGTTGCATACATAGAGCTGGAGGCTCAGGAAAACTGTAAAAAAATTAATTCTGTTAATTTTTTCCCAGAACAGCCGTTAATATTTAATGATTCCTACCTAGAGCAATTCAACGCCTTGGGCCATTTGAGGCCTTTATTAGTGAGAAACGTTTCCTCACAGTTCTCTTTTACTTTTTCGCACAGTCCTTTACATGCCAAGATCGGGCCTGGCACATGTTCAGAACACATCGGCACGAATACGGAACAGATGAACAGTCGGATGTATTTCGAGCACTGATGTTGAAGTAGAGGCTCATATATTCTCAACTGCAAAAAAAGTATTTAATTTTAAGAAATCATTATAGTCGAATTGCTTTGATGCAGCGCAGGCTTTCCCAAGACACCTTCAAACATATCATGTCAATACGTCTATTGATAATTTCCCTTTAAGTACTTTAGCTTTATCTCCCTTTTATAACTACCAATTATGACGATCGCGATAAGAGGAATAATACGATTCCGGGCTTATCTCCATTTTACACGAAGGCTTTTAACTTAATGGATAATTATTTTTAAATTGTAATTAACCGATTACAATACAGATACACATTATATCAAGTATTTACCTTCCACCTGAATATGGATAATGTTTTCTGAATGTATTGGAGCACCTTCGAAAAAATTATGCACTTTATCGAGATTTGAATTTAAGATCCAGTCGAATATTTTAATAAGATAATGTCGAAGACCTGATAAACTGATTTTTCAAGACTTAATTGAAAAATCTATAAACCACCCGATGTGAAAAGTGCAGCCATTGCTAAATTTCCACTTGGAGCAAGTGTGGAAAAATACCCGTTTGTGCATCTAGAGCAAATGGTACCTCCATAATACCTTATCATTTTATTGAGATTTTGTTAATGATGAAACACAAAGAATTGCTGCATTGATTTACAATGTGTACCCTTTCAAATCAACGACTCTTTACACTGGTGGTGTTGTTTTTAGAGGTTCTTATCGTTTACTTCCGCTCCATTTCCTCCGAAACGATAATGCTGTTCCAATATGTAATCGGTAAACAATTAAAATTTAAACAATGCCTTAAAACCACACTGCAACATCCTTTATGCGCTGAAACGGAAACTAATAAAAGGAAATTTACATTGGTGAAAACAACTGCAAATCAATTGGATTCCAAATCAATCAACTGCCCAAGTTAATAGTTGTTTGTTCAGACGGATGGAAGTAAATGATTAATCCTGTTGCGAATAAATAAGCCTGGATAATTTTTAGCCTTAAACACAAGAGTTAGTTGCAAAAGAAAGCATCCTGCACCCTTAATAAAGTTTATCTACGGCTTGATCAAGAAGGAACTTCATCGGCAAAAAGTTAGTTTGAGAATTCATCACCCTGTACACTTGACTGACGGTCTATACGAGTAAAAAACGTCGAAGTTGTCTCTGCTCGCCGACAAAGCATATTACCACAAATTTGCTGATAAAAGGTGATAAGGCGTCGATGTGATATTTAATAATAATATACCTTTCAAATGCCGCATCGGAGAAACACTTTTATAAACAGGGCAATAAAACTTTATATGAGTGTTTGCTTATCGTAAAAATATTACTTTAGTGGAGCAAATCGAATCTCAATATGGCTGAAATACCCGCCTAGATCCAGGGAAATTCTACTATCTAATTGCACATTTACTTCTAGGACTGATTTTTCTTCAGTTTGGCAACAAACGTTCTTTTGCCAGTTTTTTAACTAATTTAAAGAAATATTGTCGAATATTAGTATGAAATTGTTTCTGGGGTTCGTGAGTTAATTCGTGTTCTTAATTTTGCGACCTGCATATGCTGAATTTTTTTTCTAGTATACAGGGTGTCCTATAAAAGCGCCAGCGGCATCAAGTTTGATTTGTTTAATGGCACACCCGAATTTTCTCTTCTTTTCTGAAGTCTGCATTAAATTTCCATTAGTCTGATCGAGAGATCGACTTACTTTAATGCCTGACCAGCAATGGCAATTTTCTTACGAAAATTTACTTTTACACCAGGGTATTTTGAAAAAGGGTCACATAAACGGTGAGCTGCTGCAACCTGCTTCTTCCCTCGGCTGTTAGAGGAATAAATCGGCTTTATTTTTCTTACTTCAAAGTTTCATTAGCTGCTCAATTTTTTCTGCAATTATCAAGTTCAAATATTTTAATTGGCTAAACCAATTTTTTCATAATGAAAACAGCATTTTATTTCTTAAACTATCTCCTATGGATCATTGGGGTCAAAACACGCAGAATAAAATTTCAATGAAAAAATAGCTGCAAAGCATATAATTATCCACATTATTCAAGTAGTAGGTGGAACGAAAAATTCCGCAAAAAAACGCACTAGACAGTTTCAAGCACGAAAGAAATTGTCTCGAGAGGTAAGTAAAAGTGGACTGACAAATTTTCGAAAATACTGCCAGATTTAAGTGCGAATCTTTTTTTCAATACAACGACGCAGAAGAATAATTTTTCTTATTCCTTCTTTAACCAATTAATGCTTTGATATCGCTTAGGTCTGATGCGTTCAAACAGTTCAATTGACACTATAAACAAGATTTTTCTCACTGCAAACTAACAAGCGCCTATATTTAAAAAGCAAAACTTTACGTCGAAAATAAATCAGTTGGATTTTCCCTCGAATGTATAAAAACGATGTAAATATTTTACCCAAAGCTATTTTCAGCCAGATTTCAGCCGTGCTGAGTGAAATGGAAGCGAATAGATCAACTTGAGCGCGCCATAATTTTGATGGAAAATGCTCAAAACATTATTTAATTCGTTTGCTTGTAGGTGGCAAGGTGTTGATCTATCGTTGCATAAAATGCGCAACTAGTTAACTATCATCAACTAGGATTAAGACGGGAAATCGTGAGGCATTGGAAGCAAAATTGGACGCACCAACATCTAAAATCTAGCAGCGTTAAATCAGGTGAATCGGGCAATATCAGCTTACAATTGCCGTAAAAAGACCGTGCTTCAGTGCAAATTATTTCATAAATGCACAGACAAAAATAGTAGAAAAACGCATTTTTGCATCGAACTTGGTGCCGCTACTGGGTGCTACGAGTAGGTAGGTAAGACTGGACATAATCAAGAATACCCGCGGTGCCTTTGCGATCGGTGCCGCCTTGTAATTAGCCCTGCACAGGTGCCGCTTGGGCTTTGAGCCCCCAGGCCTGACCGCTTCGTAGTAATGGCTTCTCCAGGGGCGCACTTGAGCCAGATATGAAGAACGGCATATCTTCCCGTGAAGACAAAAAAACTTGCCATCATAAAATACAACTGTTACCGTTCTCGAAGAGTTTCCAGGGAATATTGGGGCCAAATCGCCAATTATTTTAGATATGAGAGTTCGGTAGTGGTCCGATGTTTTTTTGGAGGTGAAGATGGAAGTGAGAAAACGATGCACAGAAGGAAATTTTTTACAAACTTCTTTTTGGGTATTT